TTACACGGGTGATTAATATGCAGCGCCCGAGGTGGAGAATTTTGAATAATAAAGACGTGACGGGAACATTTGTGAAACCTAACGGGGACAGCTGTTCAACTCGGATGGTGGAACTCCGTAGATTTCGCTGCGAGACAGCGTAAAAATTATTGGATTACGACTCTAGTACAGCGAGTAGATGGACACAAATTAATTGTTGAACTGTACGTTTCCTTCTTTCGTCGCAATTTTGCAATTTTACGTCAGACAGAACAGAAGATCGAACTATGCAAAACAAATAAACTCTGTTACAATTCTCAAATAACTTTCAATGATAACATCAGTCGAATTGCTCAGACAGGAAAGGATGAATCTTCCTGTTTAATGATATTAAACTAAAAGATCAATCATTTGTTACAATTCCACGTTAAATTGTATGTCGTTGAGATTTGAACAAGAATAAAAGGACCGAGACGGGGATTTTCGTCAGTTTTGACTACGTAGGAGCAAATTTCGTACGTACCGACGTAGTTGGGTCTTCGTCTTCGCCGCGTAGGAGCAATCCGAACACTTGTACTGCCTATTTGACGGCGTGCTGTCGTGTACCAAGCTTCTGTGCGATCTTAATTCGGAGGCCGTCCGGAGCACCGTTGGACAGCCCGGAAGTCCGCACTTGTACTTCTTGCCAGCGTGTCGCAACATGTGCTGCCGCAGCGAATGCCTGGAAAAGAGGAGGAAAAAAAAAAAGAAAATAAATAGACGTTCAAATGCGAACAATTCATAAGTACCTATGCGTCAAGGTAAGAACTAGCGCTGTCTTGAGAGAATTCAGTCGTAAATATTTTCCTCTTTCCCCTTGTCCTGATTAAGCTTTATACGTGTGATTATCCAGCGTATTCAAAAAATCATGGTGAAAAAACAAGTTCGAAAAACAAGTATTTCGTTTCTGGCGCTTAAAGGTTTATACAATTCTGGAATTTTATTAGATAAAATTGAATTTTTTAATAATGTCCCTCTTAAGTATTAATATTCTGAGTGTATGTTCGTAATTTTTAAGAATTAAGAATTCATTAGAATAGCAAGCCAGTACTATGTATATGTGAGCAAGTGTTCATTTTATCTTGATGTGAATAACATATTCTCTGAATAGCGTATTCCTTCGTTGAATAATGATTTTATCCTACACCTGCTACTCATCGATCTCAACTCTTTCTTACTCATCATCAGGCCCAAGCATGTCTCTGCTTCATAATTTGAATTCCACGATTGTAAGAGTTATTTTTTTTATCGAGTAAATTGCGCTGACTATGTCGTAGTACGTGTTCATTTTATTCTGATACGACACAGATTCTTCTCTCTGTGAAATAATGACGTTCATGCAACTCAACTTTCCTTTACTCAAACATGTCCATGTTCAATCATTTTCTCAGTTCCAAAATCTAATGCATATTAATTCTCAGAATTCCAAGATTGTACGTATTGTTTTCACTGATTGTGAGTACTATGTCAATACTATATTCTGACATGGCACATGGTAGATTCTCCTGTGGAATAATGATTTTACCTTTTATCCGTTAGTCATCCATGGACATCAACTCAAGCATATCCCTGTTCCATAATCTATCGTATATTATGAGTATATTGGCACACGTTCCATTCATCTGAACAATGATTTCAACCTCTGTCAAGATCAATCCATATCCCTGCTCCATAATTTTCTCAGTTCTCAAAATGAATTATTTAACAATTAATATAAGATCGATTCAAATCATCTAACTTTCGAGGTTCACTGGATCGCTCGTATTGCCAAGTTAGTGGCAATGAAACTGAACGTTTCACCAGGGAATCCGTATGATTTTTCCAAATACCAAGTGACGATCGGTCTAGCAGCGTCGCGGAGCATAATGATATCGCGACTTAAAGGGACACGTTTTTCGTGAAATCCAACGCGTAATAAGACAGCACAATGGCCTGGACGAATGCACGGTACGCGTGTGACCACATCGGCTGTTCGCACACCGTACGATCCGATCGCAGCTGTTGCATCCTATATCAACCTGCTGGCGAGAGAGCGCGCACAAGAGCTCGCACTTTAAATAGTTTCTGTCGAGAGGTGACGATATGGTTACTATACGGTTACTGAACTTATTCAGACCGACTCCACCAGCCTCGTCTTCCTACTCTACTTTCTACTACCTTTATTTCCCTTTTCTTTTTGTACGGCGAGTTACTCTCTAGTGTTAGAGTGAAAACATAGTGAGCACCTTCGGCAAGTCGAGAGTAATAGATTAAAGCATAAAGTTTTCATTTCTTTTTTAAATCAAATATCAGTGAACCAGCATTAGTTGCATGTAAATATAATTTACGTATGTTGCTTTGCTATTCATTTGTGAATTGATATGGTTCAAATTAGAGGTTCGTGTATAGCGTAATTTCTGATATGCGTATAGCCGTCACACGCGATAAAGAATGCAATAATTTTCAGATGAAGATCAAAGATCGTACAAACCGGAGTATATGTATTTCATTGAGCCAATAAATAAAATTCGTTCACTTGCAAAATTCGGAAATATCTATGAACCGAAAGGCGGATCTTTGAACGCGACGTTTGAAAAGTCAGCGCCCTAGGACCTTCCAACAGGCAGAAGAAAATCCGTCAAGACCTAATCTGAGCCTGCTGCTTTCGTCGAACGTAAACGCGACGAGTCGCTTTCGAGCCATCTGATTAAAAGGGGAAAGGAGGAGGCAAATCGAACGTAGGGGCAATGAAAACGACAGCGAATGCACGAGTAATACCGGCATTCCAGCGGCTATAAAACTAAGCGAAAGCTCGTCGATGTTATCGAAATCGGTAGCAAATTTCCGAACGTGGTAGCCACGATCTTCGCGTACGTATCTCTCCCGGCTCCCCTGTATCGAGATCTTCGCTGACCACGGTGTGGTACCAGTGGCGGGGAAACCTACCGCGGTAACAGAACGAAGGACACGGATTTTTCGAGATGGCAGCTCGACGATACCGAGCAGCAGCAGCAGCAGCAGC